TGCCCTAAGGTGTGAGGTAACCCCAGTCAAAAGAGGCTGAATGCAGGATTGTAACTGGTCACTGGATCAAATTGGGACTTCAGGTGAGAAGCTGTAAGACACATCAAATCAAGAGGACTTCAGGTTGAGTGAGGCCCTCCTACCCATGGAGGACAGTGTGGGGGTGGCAGCAGGGAAGTGTCTCTCTGAAGAATCACAAAAGCCAAGAGCACCTGGGAGAGGAAGAGTCCACCAGGAAAACCTGCTGGGTCAGAGAGATCCACACCGCCTCTCCTGCCTCCTCAGCTCCCTTTTATCCTAGAAGAACCACAGGTAGACCCCTGAGTGAAGGAGGGTGCTGGGAGGTCTGGAGGGGGAAATAGAGAAGCCCACCAGGTCACCCTTTCTTAACTCAGGTGAGCCAGTCCACAGCAGGCCTAAGTGGAAGAGGGGGAGATTATTTTACCTTAAAAAATTTGGAAATTTTCATTCTTATTAGAGTAAAGCAAATAACATTGGTAATATTCAACCATGTATGACTCACAAAAATGGCAGTTCCACATGGTTACACTCAATGCATGAGAGTGGATTTCTAGATTACTGAACTGAGATTGTTTAGGGGTTTTAAGCGACCAAGAGAATTTTATTACCTGGGAGTGACTAACAAAGCCATGAGAATTCCCCCAGACTTCATTCAAGGGTGTGGGGGAAGAGCTAGCTCCATAGAGACAACTTGAACATGAAAAGAATAAACTTTGCATCCAAGAATAAACTTGTTTTCTGCCTTCACCCCATAGGTCCCATCGGTTCAACAAACTGGCTACACTTAATTTTCTACGTATTTATCACCAGTTGACCCACAAAATCTGACAATAGAAATCTCTTCTCAATAGATTCAAACACACCAGGCAATCTCTAAATTTTTTAAAAATCTTTTCTGTGCTTGCTTGCTTGCTTCCTTCCTTCCTTCAGATGTTGACCTGATATTTTCCATCATATATGAGAGGGATGGATAATGCTTAGACATAAGGCAGACAGATATTGGATGAGGCAAGCATGTTATCTCACAGCTACAGCTGTTGCATGCCTAGATCAAAGACCATGCACATATTACTTAGATTAAATGTCCTCCACATTTAAAAGAATAGTATTACCCAAGGCAAATGAAGTATACCCATGAAGCGAAAGCTTTTGGAGGGTGTGGGCATGAACTGAGCTTTGAAAAGGAACCAGCTGGCTTGACAAGTTTTTGTTTACAAGCCCTAGGAGAATGCAAAATAAACTGCTAATGGAGTGGGAGAAGGAACATCCCTTGGTTATCATCAGCATTTAGGAGAAAAAAAAAAGAGAATCATAGCTCACTTAATGTTGTGATAAGGGATTGTCATGGTAAGGAGCTCAGGTTTTGGTTTCAGTTGGACTTGGGTTCAAATCCTGCATTGGCCACTCATTGGCTTCTTTGGACAAGTCAGTTAATAACAATAAATACCATTTATGGAGCACTAACTATATGTTGGGAACTGTTTCAAGTGCTTTACATGTATTAATTAATTTAACCCTCAACAATTTTATGAGGTAAATATTATAATTTCCTCCATTTTATGGATATAGAAACTGAGGCACTGGGGTAGTTAAGTCACTTGCCCCAAATCAACACACATTTATTAAGTGGAGGAGCTGTTTCCAACAGAGCCTGCCATATAATCTCATATCTCTCCACTTAATTCCTTTTCCTGTTTGACTTAGCCAGAGCTGGTTTCCAAACTCTAAGTGATACAATAAATTACAGGGTGTTTTGTGTGTGTTGTCACACAAGCACAAAGAATTTAGGGCTGAATAAATGGTAGATATTATGCATATTCAGTGAGATATAAGGAAGATCATTAAGTGAAGAAAAGATTGTTAAAGTGAGTTACTTGAGAAAGTCTGAGACCTCATTGGAAACTGGTGTACATATTTTTTTCAAACAATCTCAAACTTACAAAAAGTTGTAAATATGGTTCTGATAATTTTTTTTTATCCTGAACCATTTGAGAGCAAATGGTAACTTGATACTTCATCACCCCCAAATATTTAGTGTGTATTTCCTACAAGGACTTTCTTCTATGCAATACAATCATCCAGATAAGAAAGTTAACATGATACAGTACTGTAATCCTCAGACCCCTTTCAAGTCCTGCCAATCCCAATAACATCCTTTTACAGCAAAAAGATCTTTGTGTTCAGATTGTTCTGTCTCTGCGGTCTCCTTCAATCTGGAACAATTCTTCAGTTTTTCCTTGATACTTTTGAAGGTTGCAGGCCAATTATTTTGTAGCATGCTGCTCCATTTGGGTTTAACTGAGATTTCCTCATGATTAGATTCAGGTTATACACCTTTGGCAGGAAAATCAAACACCAAAGAAGCTGTGTTCTGATTGCATCCAATCAGGTGGAACACAATTTTGATTTGTCCCTTTGCTGATGGTGTTCACTTTGATCATTTGTTAAGGTGGCTTCACACCTTTTTTCCTTTTACTTATGAAGTATTTTGTGGAGAGATACTTTGAAACTGGTAAACATCCTATTCCTCATGAGACTGTCAATTTATTTATTTTTCTCATTTATTCAATGGGTTATAATCTGTTACTTTATTTATCTACCTGTTTTAATTGAGATATAATTCACATACCATCAGACTGACCTTTTAAAAAACTATGCCATGACTCCAACTTAGTTTTAAAAAGATAAAGAAATCAAGGGTCAGAAGCAAAAATGAGGTAATAAGATCAGTACAATGGATTTTTATATATGCATACATCTTACTTGAATTTATAAAACAAGAAAAAGGATCAATTAGGATTAGATTTGTGGCATGTGACAACAAAACAAAACAACGTGGAAGATAATTTGGCTTCATTCATAATTGAACTCTTGAGGTCAGTAGTTCAAGACCACGTGTGTGGACTTTTTGTTCCATTAAGACCTTAGTAATGCAGGCTCCTTCTAGCTCACTAACTCACCATCCTCATTCTCCTAGTCCCAGGTAGCAGCTAGATTGGCAGCCATTCCATCCAAGTTTGTTTCCGTTTTGGAGGCCTGGCATTTGTTCTTTCTTCCTAGAAACTTTTGTTTAGTGCCTCTGTTTCCACCTTCGGGTCTCAGCTTTGAAATGTGGCCGCCTCTCTGGAGCAAGCTTCCCTGAGGACAGGCCCTGGTCCCGCCTATCAACCTGTCTTCTTTTCTTCCTCTCTCTTATCACCTGCCTGTACTGGTTCCACAACCTACCAAGTGTGTGACCGTGGGCAAGTTCCTTTAATATCCCTGTGCCTCAGTGTCTTCATCTGTAAAATGGGGATTAACAGCACCAATAGGGAGGGTCCACTTCAAATGCAAGGGAATGATTGGCTCTGGGGAAAGAGAAGTGAGGCAATGAGTTGGTGGGATCCACAGTGCCTGTCTTTGTTCCAGAGACTGGAGCAAAGTAGCTTAATAACTATTTGCAGAATTAATGAAAATATTATGTTAGTAAACCGATCAGGAGTTGGTGCCACTGTGTAGGGGTAGAATATTGCTAAACATTATTTATTAACATGCACCTTGACTCTCTGAGAATAAAATCAGTTGGGAATGTTCTGCTTTGAAGTGGGGGGAGGGCTGTATTCTCCTAAATACAGCTGAAGTTCTGGGGCTGATGTCAGACCCCCAGGAGAAAAATAAGAAATCTTTTTTCCGTATTTCTGGTCTGATCTTCTTACATTTTGGTTTGGAAAGGAGATAAGAAATTAAGTGGGGATGGTGAGGAGGAAGGGTGTAGTAATAGGCAAGATGGGCTTTACAAGCAAGCACAACAAATCTCCAAAGCTCCTAACATCTTTGACCC